GATTTGCTGGATGTGGCAAAAGGGTAAATCAGATGATGACAGGGGGTTCCAACGTTTCTTGGACAATGTACAATATAAGACCAATGGAATATTACGCTATGAACGTGTTTTTGGAGAAGGATATGTGAGCACAGGAGGACTTGGTATGCTAGTTTTATGATCTGATCACTGTTTCTGTTGCATTTAATCTGTGAAAATCGAAGACTTTTTATGTTCGGTAACTGTCTACAATTTTGGTTAAAGAGGTAAAAGGGAAAACTATAAGAAGCAGAAACTCACACAGCATTAACGGAGTACACTACTGAAATTTCCTTCTTGAACTGCAAAGATGTTGGAATCTGAATCCCTTTTAAGTTCAAGGGCCTTTTTGTTTCATACTCTTTGTCCTTTTACATCAACTCTGCTGAATGTAGTTTTTTGGTGATTAGAAACTACGAAGGAATTTGTGGCAAAGCTGGACCTTAAGCCCGACCAAAAAGTTCTTGATGTGGGATGTGGCATTGGCGGTGGTGACTTCTACATGGCTGAAAACTTTGATGTTGATGTGATTGGTATTGATCTTTCTATAAATATGGTTTCCTTTGCACTTGAACGAGCTATTGGACGTAAATGCTCGGTTGAATTTGAAGTTGCTGATTGTACCAAGAAAGTTTATCCGGATCATACATTCGATGTGATCTATAGCCGTGATACTATCCTTCATATACAGGTATACACCTCTCATTACTTGATATTACTGTTTTTCTATCTCTCTCTTTTCACATTTGAACAAATATATGAAGACATGCATGCTTACTGAATTACAAACATTCCTACTTTATTAGCCTTAAACTGTTTGAAAGTTTTTGTCAAATTATGTGGCTAGCTATGATGATTTTAGGGAAATATGAGCAAATTTTTCTTTGAATTCTGAAAAACTCACATGCAGTCTTTTCTTTTTAACCCTTTTCCTATTCTTTGAACATAATGTTTACTCCATGTTTTGTGATCTACCTGAGGTTAGATTGAATTTAGATATAATTCCAATCACAGTTATTGAAGAAAGTGATTTATTTGTTAAGGTAATATATAACGCAGATGGTAAAAGCTGAAGATGGACTTTCAAGATATCAGCCCTCAACTAAGCAAGGCTGAATCGAAGTTCGTAGTGTTAAAGTTCACGGGAACTAGTTAATTTCCTAGCGGCTAACAATAGGCATTCAAAATCAATAATCTGTATTATTTTCATAGACAACAGGAGGTTATGCAGTTTCTATGGTTTCAACTTTCAAGATATCAGGAAATGAAGAATGTTCACTGAAAAGAGATGACTAGAATTGGCAAAATTGAGCGAGAAATCTATATAAGCAGGGATACGGAAATAAATGGTCAGAGGATTACAATTATAATGAGAAGGGCTAACAAGGTTTATGTATATAGCTGAGTTACTGCAAGGGCTTAAATAAATACTAGGGCATAAAGTAAAACACCTGAATGCTTTACAAGTCAGTCTCTGCTTAGATTCAACTGTGCTTTCTAACTATTGGAAAATGTTCAGGATAAACCAGCACTATTCAGGAACTTCTTCAAGTGGTTGAAGCCAGGAGGAAAAGTTCTCGTTAGTGATTACTGCAGGAGGTCAGGAAAGCCATCGGAGGAATTTGCTGAGTACATCAAACAAAGAGGTTATGATCTACATGACGTCGAAGCTTATGGCCAGGTCCTTTTAAACTTCACAATCGAAGATTTATAATTCGTTACTCTCAAAGTTCCGAATAGAGATAAAATTCTCTTCTAACTCTGATTGTGTAAAATATTGGCATGCCAGATGCTCAAAGATGCTGGTTTTCAGGAGGTTATTGCAGAAGACCGAACAGATCAGGTTCTGCTTTAAGCTTTTCAACTTGTGCACAATATGGTACCCAATCGTATATGCTTAACTAATTTCATGAAATTTCTTCTCTACAGTTTCTAGAAGTTCTGCAGAGGGAGCTGGACGCCGTTGAGAAGGACAAGGATGAATTCATAAAGGATTTCTCGCAGGTATAAATGGTTATACTAGTAATGTTTCTCACATTTTACTGTGTTTTGCTTTCTCATTTCAATTAAATTTTATGTTATTCAGGAGGATTATAATGAAATTGTCGGTGGATGGAAATCTAAGATGAAGAGAAGCTCGATTGGCGAGCAGAGGTGGGGACTGTTCATCGCAAAAAAGAAATGAGTTCCCAATGATCTTGTTACTCTATCTATTTGAGATTTCACAAGATTTCCTTTGAATTTATTATATCATATTAAGCTGGAGTGTTTCTGTATTTGTGTAATAATATTTAGATGTTATTTTGTACTAGGTATACACTTTTGTTATCCTATTAGTATATGTCTGTGTTATGAATAAAGAGTTTCCTTCAACATAAAACATTGTTTTTGATCATGACACGGCCAACTGGCGTCGAATTATTCAAGTTAAACAGGTAAAGAAATCTGTCAGATAATTAACGATTAATATGTGTGTTGATCTTGAACTGTGAACCAATTCTGGGTTAATGATATCAATTATGGGTTTGTTAATTCAATGCCAGCAGCAAGCTTTTGGACTTTGTTTATATGATATAGTAAGCTGTCATCATGAACATCGTTATCGATAAATGAGTTTACTCAAACTACTAATATTTGGAGAAAGTATCCGGTGAGGACGGAAAGTATCTAGTAGGGAAGACCCATGACGTTAAATATACACCCATATGATATTAACCGTTGAGTTTGGACATAAATCTCGAAATTTAATGAGTTGATATTATTTACGTGCACATTTAATGCCATAAACTCAATACCAATGATATTTTTTCCTAATATTTGGAAGTCGCCCAAATTGCTGCCACCCCATAAAATTCCATTGGCTAGGAGAAAAAAAATGAATTTATCTATGTAGCCTAGAAATCAGGAATTATATAGTGTCTAATTAGCACTTTATGTACCCTATAGTTTCCCCTACTTTGCTAATAACTTTTACGCACAGTACTAATAACTTGAGAGAAGTATCGTGCCATCTGAGCTAAGCAAATTTATCACTAAAACACTTATTTAAATTTTTTATGTTAATTAATTATGACCTGTGGCTGTACTTG